GATGATGATGAGGAGGATGATGATTATGGTGATGATGAGGATGATGACTTCGACGTGTTGCGGTGGTGATGATGATGACGATGAGGAGGAGGAGGAGGAGGAGGAGGAGGAGGAGGAGGAGGAGGACGAGGGGAGGAGGAGGAGGCGGAGGAGGAGGAGGGAGGAGGAGGAGAGGAGGAGGAGGAGGAGGAGGAGGAGGAGGAGGAGGAGGAGGGGATGAGGAGGAGGAGGAGGAGGAGGAGGAGGAGGAGGAGGAGGAGGAGGAGGAGGAGGAGGCGGAGGAGGAGGAGGAGGAGGAGGAGGAGGAGGGGGAGAAGGAGGAATGCCGTAATGATCGTATGCTCGAACAGATGGACTTTCGCTTAGCGATCGTACATCATCTTGCTGGGGCCCACACCGAACAGTTGCTGTGCTCGAAGTGTCGGGGCGGCCTCGTTCTAGCTTCACGGGAAATTGGAAACAACTAAGCAAACCCAGGGGCCCGATGTACGTCAGCCACTGTACAGTGCTGTGGCGGATCGTACACAGGGGGATGAGGTTGCTCCTAGTCATGGTCTGGACACGCCGCATCTGCCGACCTCTGCGAGACAACGCCAAGCATCCCTCCCCCGCTGCACCTTTGCTCAGCCTTCTTTTAGGCGTCACTGGAGGCTCCGGATGGCCTGCGGCTGCGCTTAGAGACGGCCCGGAGGCGGCCTCAAGCAGCCGCCAGCGTTTCAAAACAGTGTTTCCTGAATCAGCCTGTTTTAATCAGGGGTGGACAGAACCCCCAACAGTGACACGTCGTTTAGTGAATTGTCCGTTTTCGGTTCTCGAGAGGGCGCCGCGGCCGTTATTTTCCAGGCTTGCGCCCGCCAGGTTTGGGCCTCAGGTCGTTTTCACTAAACCACGTTTTGCTAAAGGGGGGTCTGTCCATCCCCGATTTAAGGGTTCTACATCAGTTTTCTTAGAAACTAGAAGGTGCGCTGCCGGATCCGGAGTCGGGCGGGTGACGTTGCCTCTCGTGGCCTCAAGGTGATTCCCGTGGCCTCCCGTTGCCCGTCGTGGCCTCTCGTGGCCTCCTGATGCCTCGCGTGGCCTCCCACTGCTTCCCGTTGCCTGCCGTGGCCTCCCGTGGCCTCCCGTTGCCTTTCCTCTCCCTATGGTGTGTCCCTATAATGTCAGGAGGGGAAAAACACACAGACACAATTAGTCGTCGACTCCCAGGAAAATATGGGAAAATATGGGGAGTGGGGGGAAGACAAAAACCCAGAAAATATAGGAAAATATGGGGAATAGTTTTATTTGTGTGTATTTATTTGTGTGTCCCAGGGCCCCTTCATAGTGGTCGGGAATTTAGGCTCAGCGGGTCGCTCCGCCATTTCTGGCCCACTGCGCTTCGGCGCGGCACGCTATCCACCTCCTGGTTCGCAGGCGTCATCTGCTCGAGCCTTTCCGAGCCTCCCGCCCCGCAGAGCAGAGCGACCCGCTATTCGCTTGCGAGGCATGGCGGGTCGCCGAGGCCGCCGCCACGACACGCTAAGCAAAAGTTTCTGACCGTATCCCTCTATCACTTTCCCTTTATCCCTATCCCTACACCTTCTATCGCTATCCCTATGCTAGTGCCCACTCGCATGCGCTATGCAAACCCATAATCACCTGAGGGCCAACCTGCGAGAGGCGAGCCACCATGCGATTCGATACCTTGGCCTGCGCAGATAAACTCAAATGGGCGCAGTCACGGCGACGCAGAAGGGCTGTCCTCCTCATGCAGCCGAGACGGCCCCCAGATCCCGTGCCCAAGCGCCGTAAGTCGCCAGGCAGACTCGTACGTCCCAGGGGCTTAAAGGGACGAGGAAGCGGAGGCGGAGGAGGCGGAGGAGGAGGAGGAGGAGGAGGAGGAGGAGGAGGAGGAGGAGGAGGAGGAGGAGGAGGAGGAGGAGGAGGAGGAGGAGGAGGAGGAGGAGAGGAGTATAGTAGTAGTAGTAGTAGTAGTAGTAGTAGTAGTAGTAGTCGTAGTAGCAGTAGCAGTAGCAGTAGCAGTAGCAGTAGCAGTAGTAGTAGTAGTAGTAGTAGAGTAGTTAGTAGTAGTAGTAGTAGTAGTAGTAGTAGTAGTAGTAGTAGTAGTAGTAGTAGTAGTAGTAGTAGTAGTAGTAGTAGTAGTAGTAGTAGTAGTAGTAAGTAGTAGTAGTAAGTAGTAGTAGTACGTAGTAGTCGTAGTAGTAGTAGTATGTAGTAGTAGTAGTTAGTAGTAGTAGTAGTAGTAGTAGTAGTAGTAGTAGTAGTAAGTAGTAGTAGTAGAGTAGGAGGAGGAGGAGGAGGAGGAGGAGGAGGAGGAGGAGGAGGAGGAGGAGGAGGAGGAGGAGGAGCAGAGGAGGAAGGCAAGACGAGGAGAAGGGATCCCTATCCTTATCCCTATCCCTATATTCCCATCTCTATATAACCCGAGCCCTACATCCCCAACCCTATACTCCTAGCCCTATCCGTGTTCCTGTCCCTAGCCCGACCCTCGCATCGTGCCCCCTCATGGTGGTCTCCGATCGTCCCCCACTGTGGCCCCCATCGTGACTGCGTGAAGCTGTTGAGGGCCTTCTGCCGCAAGGGCACCACCTTTTGCGCCGCCCCCCCCCCAGGATCAAGGGGCCCTGGGACACACAAAAGAACTCTACACACACGACAGGATTCCCCATATCTTTGCCAATATTTTCTGGGTTTTTGTCTTCCCCCCCACTTCCCATATCTTCCCATCTTTTCTGGGGAAGCGACGATTCATTGTGTCTGTGTGTCTTTCTCCCCCTCCTGACAGGAGCGCGAGCTCGCCCCGGGCGGGTCGCTGGCCGCGCCGGCGCCGGAGCAGCGGTCGCAGGCGAGGCAGAGCTCACCGGCGCGGCAGGGGGCGGCCGCGCCCCAGCAGCGGGCGCCGGTGAAGCCGAAGGAGTCGGTGGTCGGGGGCCGTGAGACGGGGGTCAGTGCAAACGGGGGTCAGCCAGAGCGCCAGATCCTGCAGGATCCTGCGAAGAGCCCCTCTGGCCGACCCGGGTTGGCGAGCCGCTCGTGGCCGCGAGGCGGCCGCGCCTATTGGCCGACCCGGGTTTGCGAAGACCTGCGTTGCAGCTTGTTTTTCCTGCACTGCAGTTTTTGGTTTCCTGCTGACCCGGGTCTGGATTGACCCGGGTCAGAAGCTCCCCGAGGTGGCACAGCATGGGAGACTGTACAGTTCAGGAGGAACAAAAGGCACACAGACACAATTCATCGTCGCTTCCCCAGAAGATAGGGGAAGATATGGGAAGTGGGGGGGGGGAATTCAAAAACCTAGAGAATACGGAAAAATACGGGGAATCCTGTTATTTGTGTCCATGTATTTGTGTGTCCCAGGGCCCCTTCAATAGTTTGCCCTCGCAATCCCGTCTTGAGGGCGTGCACTGGCATGCTCTAGCGTATGGTCATCGATGAGAGCGCCAGTGTAGCGTCGATTCGCCTTGCGTCGATTCGCCTCGACCTGCGTCGATCAGCGTCGGTCATCACCGACTTGGCGTCGAACGTAGCGTCGATGCGCAAGAGCCAGCAAGATGGTATGGGAGGCTCCCGTAAGTTCGCCTCGACGTAAGAGCCAGGGTGACCTGTGACCTGTGGTGCGGGCACGCCTTGGCATCGCTCGGACATGTGCATTTTTCTTCCGGCGAGGACCATCGAGGAGCATCCTTGATCATTTGGCGAAAAAACCACGCACGAAACCGAAAAAAACACAGGGAATGGACGTCCGAGCGATTGCCAGACGCTGGGGCCCCCCGATCGCCGAGCGCGATGCGATGGTAGCGTCCTGCGCGCCGGTGTGTTTGGCCCCCCCCCCTGCGGCCCCCCAGAAGCCGCGCGTCAGAGGTCGCTCGCTACCCAGGGCCACTCCCTGCGTGCAGCCCATGCGCTGCCACCGAAGAAAACCCCACAGAGATCCGATGTCGCGTTTTTTGTCCACGCGCGGTCCCTGGAAGTCTTTCGGGCCGAACGGAAGGAGGGGATTGGGAAGGGGGGGTTACGAAATTTGCTGCACGCAGCTGGTTTCGGCCTCGCCGAGGGGCCCATTTCTCGATACGTAGCCGCCTCCAGCGCCGGGAGGCGCCGGAAAAATCAGCTACGTGAGCTGATTCTCAAACCCCCCCTTTGCTATCCCCCCCTTCCGCCCGACCCGAGTCTTGGCCCATTCCCCAGAGCCGGCTCTCCATCCTGGGTCGGTTTTTTCGACGGTGCCTGGGCCCGGCAAGGGCCCCCAGAGGCTGAAGATGGCGAACAGGTTTCCCCCTTGCTTGTTTCCACTGCGCTGGATCTCTGGGATCTCTGGGATCTCTGGGATCTCTGGGATCTCTGGTTGCTTCCCTCTTGCTTGTTTCCCATGCGTGGTACCTCTGGGGAGGAGGCAGCCCTGGCCCCGCTGCCCGCGGGCTGAGGCCCCCTGCCGGGGGCTGGCCGCTCCGGTGCCGCTGGGCCGCGGGCGTCAGGGGCGCGGGCCGGAGGCACGGCGGCCCTGGCTCTGCCCGCTGGCCTGGGTCGGCTCTACTCGGGGAAACGTATCGGGGGTGGACGGAACCCCCCACAGTGACACGTCGATTAGTGACTTGTCCGTTGTCGGTTCTCGAGGTGGCGCCGTGGCCGTTGTTTTCCAGGCTTGCGCCCGCCGGGTTCGGGCCTCAGGTCGTTTTCACCAAACCACGCCATCCCCGAACGTAAGACTCGAGTAAGCCGGAACTCGGGTTTGCCGACCTTTGACGAGCGCGTCACGCATTCTGACGGCCCCGTTTTCGTGGGATGTCTGCAGCAGGAGCCCGCGTCAAATTTCAGACTGGGTCTCGTCATTTTGATGATGGACCCAACCCGAGTCCCCCGTACCCGAGTCTTACGTCTCCCCGATATACGCAAGAGTGACCCTGGGTAAGAGTGACCTTTGGTGCGCGGCTCTTTGGGGCCGCGGGGGGGCCAAGCCTGGGCACGCAACCAGCTTCTGCTGCTTCGTTTTCAGCCATCTGGGGACCCCTCCCGTGCCCGCACCAGAGGTCACTCCTGCGAGAGGCCACTCTTACGTCGAGTCGGCTGGGGCCCTCGCTCGCTGCGCAGGGGCAACGATGAAGTCGGGCATGTCCCTCGACAGGAGGAACATTCAGAAGTAGTCAAGAAATAGTCAGGGGGCGAGTTTCCACTGTTTGTTTGATTATTTTTGATGATCTTTTTGACCATTTCTGGTTTTTCGTTCAAGATGCGCCTGTAGGGGGGCACGCACGACCTCAGGCAGCGATTCGGGACGATCGACATGGGTACGGAACCGAATGGGTAATTACGCAATGCGCAGCAGCAGTTCCTGTTCGTCTTCAACGGGGCTCGCTGTTTCGCGCCGCCGCGGGCGTTTTCTCTAGGAGGACAGACTGCCGCCTGCGCATTCAGCAGCCGCTGTCGCTTTGGAACAACATCTGTTGTTGGGCATTGTGCCAATTTTTTCGTGCCCGTTCCGGGTGTCCAAAACTCTAGGCCTCCTAGATGGGGTCGGAGTAGATGGGGTCGGACTATCGCGCCGCATCGCCGATGCATCGGCGATGCGGCTTGATGTGGAGCCCGATTTTCTTCACGCCGACGGCGCCGGTGCATCGCCGACGTGGCCAGTGCAGCGCCAATGCATCGGCGATGTGTCGCCGATTCATCGCCGATGTGTCGCCGATGCGGCGCGACCCTCCGACCCCATCTACTCCGACCCCATCCAGGAGGCCTCTAAAGATAATATGGGGGATTTGTACATGTGCACATCTCCCAAAATCAGTACAGCAAAGCATGAAACACAAAGAAACACAAAACACAAATCATGACAAAACGAAAAAATACAAAACGAGCGTAATGAGCAAATCATTACGCGAGGAGGTCAGGGCAGGAGGGTGATGCATCGACCCCCAGCCCACCACCCACCACCTATCGCCCACCGGCTGGGGGTCTGAGGCGGCCCAGGTTTGGTTCTGGCCAACAGGAGGGGGGGGGGGCAGGTTCGAGGCTCTGGGTTAGAGTTTTTTTTTTTTTTTTTGTGTGTGTGTGTGTTGTTTACAAAAAGTATCATTTATTCATTTTTTCAAACAAGCTTTTTCGGCCTCCTGGGGCCGCCGTTGGACCATCATAATCAGATTTGGAGTGAAAAACTGCACTCATGGACCGATTTTGAGCGGATGCGGCCTCGCCCCCCTCTGGACTGATCTTCTGGGGCCCCAGCTCCAGTTCGAACCTGCCGTCCGCCTCCAGGCTGGAGGGGGATCTTGGCCCGAGGTGCTCCGAGCTCTCTGCGCCGCTTGTGGAACCCGTCGGGCCCTCCGAGGAGCTCCTTCATGGGTGCTCTGGTGGCCATCAGAGCCAGAGGGCCCGGGGGGGGGGGGCCCAGACTGTGTGTGAAGCCCGCTCATATCCCCATTGCATCATCACATACCGCACCGTATCGGCTCAGGTATTGGCACTGACGCTGACACTGCGCTGCCCCCTGTGCAGTGCCCTGAAAGGGGAGTCTTCTTCTTTGCCTCTACCCACGGACCCCGCATAGGAACGGCCCCTCGGCCGTCTCCCTCGATACACACACACACGCCGACGGTGCGGCGGCCACACCGCGTGGTGTGTCGCGCGGGGCATGGCGGTGGCCGCATCGTCTGGGGCCTTGGGGCCGCTCTGCGCGGGCACCTCGGGAGCCGCCCCGCCCGCCGCGCGGGAGGGCGGGGCGCGGCGGAGGGCCCGGGGGGGCCCCGCACGGCGCGGTGGCCACGCCGTGTGGTGGGTCTCCCTGCAGGGGCTCGGGTGAAGTCGGGCACGTCCCTCTACAGGAGGAGTCTGCCAAAATAGTAAACAAAAAAAGGGGGACGATTTTTCGATTGTTGTTGCTGCTGCTGCTGTTGTTATTGCTGTTGTTGTTGTTGCTGCTGTTGTTGTTGTTGTTGTTGTTGTTGTTGTTGTTGTTGTTGTTGTTTTGGTTGTTGTTGTTGTTGCTGCTGCTGCTGCTGCTGCTGCTGCTGTTGTTGTTGTTGTTGTTGTTGTTGTTGTTGTTGTTGTTGTTGTTGTTGTTGTTGCTGCTGTCATTTTGAGTTTCCTTTTGAGGGGGGACATGCCCGACCTGAGGCTTGGGCTACCTGGTGCCAGGGCCGCCTCTGACAGCACCCGGCGCCACCCACCGCCCATCGCCCACCGGCTCCCGCGCTCGAGCCGGCTCCCCGCGCGGCGCGCGCTCCCGGCTCGGGGCGCACTCCCCGGGGCGCCTCGAGAGGCCGCCCTGATGGGCGGCATCTCTGCCCGGTGGCAAAGACTGCTTGCTCCTCCCTCCGCCAGCGCCTCCCTCCTTCGGGCGGGGTTGGGGCGAGGATGGCTCCGTCCAAGGGCGTTCCAGAGCGCTCTCAGGGCGTTCCAAGACGCTCCGAGAAGGCCGCGGCGCCCGAGGCATCTTCCGGAGCCGCCATCCTCACCCGAATTTGTTCCTCGTCCTGGTTTCGTCTTGCTCCTCTCTCTTCCCCCTTTCCCCTTTCCCCGTCCCCAGTCCGCCTCAACCTGCAATCGCGCTCCCCGCATTCCCCCATCCGCGCCGTTCTCCCTCCCCCATCCTCCCCACTATCCTTCTCCCTCCCCCTCCCCCCCTTCCTTCCTCCTCCCCTCCCCCCCCCCCCTCCCTCCTCCTCCCCCTCTCCCCCTCTTGGAATCACAGCCCTGCTCGACATTCGACTGCGCGAATAGATAGGACATCGACGCCATGGTAAGGTATGGGAGGGAGGGCCAGGACGTCAGATGTGGCGCTGGCGCACCCAGCTTGCCCCTCCCCCCTCCCCCTCCCCCCCTCCCTCCCCCCCCCCCCCCTCCCTCCCCCCCTCTCCTCCCCCCTCTCCTCTCCCCTACCTCCTCCGCGCCCGTGAAAAAATAGCGGCTCGCGCGACGCGCGGCCGCCCTCCGCCTCCTTCTCTCTCTCTCTCTCTCTTCTCTGAGGCCTCCCGCAGCCGTCCTCGCAGTTGTTGGGCCCCTCGCTCTGGACTGGCAGCGCGTCGCGCGGCTGGCCCTCTCCGCCCCCCCCCCCCCACCCGTGGTTTCCCCCCCCATTCCTTTGCGTCGGGCGCTTCCTTCCACAGCGGGGGATCTTCAATCATAGCAGGAACATCGTCTGGCTTTCTCCCGCTGCCTCCCGCTGCCCCCCCCCCCCCCCCGCTGTTTTCCCCCCCCATTCCTTTGCGTCGGGCGCTTCCTTCCACAGGGGGGATCTTCAATCATACTAGGAGCATCGTCTGGCTCTCTCCCGCTGCCTCCCCCCCCCTCCTTCCCCCCCCTGCAGTCGGGCGCGCCCTCCTGCAGGCGGGACTCTCAAGCATCGTAGGAACACAGCCTGGCCACGTTTCTTGGTGCTCTTTTTCGACTTTTTTGTTTGTCTGCCATTTTCTTGTCCCAGCATCTTGGCATCGCTCGGACGTGTGCATCTTTCCTTCGGCGAGGACCATCGAGGAGCATCCTTGATCATCTGGCGAAAAAGCCACGCGCGAAACCGAACAAAAGCACAGGGAATGGACGCCCGAGCGATGCCCAGGCACCCGCCCGGAGGAGGCCACGGCGGACCCGAGCCTGCCTCTCCCCCCTCCGCGCGGCTCTGCTGCTGCTGCGGCACGCCCCTCCGCGCGGCCCCGTGGCCCCGCCTGGGGAGAGCTCCACCGCAGGGCTCCCATTGGCAGCGTTTCCGCGCGCGCGCCCCCCCAGCCCCGGTGCGGAGCACCCCTCGCGCGGCTCGTTGGCCCCACCTGGGGAGCCCCACCGACGGCTCCCAGTAGCAGCGTTCGCGTGCGTCCCTCGCGCGACCTCGCGGAATCTCCCTCGCGCGGTTCGTTGGCCCCACTTGGGGAGCCCCACCGAAGGCTCCCGTGGCAGCGTTCGCGTGCGTCCCCCCGCTTTATGTTTCGCCCCCCCCCCCCCCACCCCACGCGTTTCGCGGCCCCCGTCCGCACGTCCCGTGCCCCCATCCCGCGGCGCGCCACCTACGTGGGGGGATCACATCCTGCGTGATCTGCGGATGCATCTGGTTGGGTATGTCGCCAGTGGTTGCTTCTTTTTATTTAGCTGCCTCTCGCCCGCTTTCTCTCTCTCTCTCTCTCTCTCTTTCTCGTTCTCTTTCTCTCTCTCTCTCTCTCTCTTTTTTCCTCTCTCTCTCTCTCTTTCTCTTCTTGGACTTGCCTCTCTGGAGGCAAGCAGCCGTTCCAGTCCCAGCCCCCCACCCCAGCCTCTCCCCCCTCTCTCCGGCCTCCCCAGCCCACCCTCCCACTCCTCCACTTGCTCTCTCTTGGCAGGGCCCCCCTCCCCGGGACGTCGTGCGAGCTGCGGGGAGGGGCGGGGCCACCGCGGAGTCACACTTCCCCAAACCTTTGACGGCGCCCGCGCGCCGTTCATACATCGGCCGGTCTCGCCTGCCCCCACCCCGCCCTTCTCAAGACGTCTCGAGCACGCCCCCCCGTGGGAGCGCTCGGGACGCCTGCAGGAGGCCTCCGGACGCCCCGAGGGAGGCCAGCGCCATTTTGTGGGTTCGTGCAGGGGGGTATCCCAGGGTGGGGCTGGGGGGACGAACCCAGCTGGATGCCCACATTTCCTCCTTCTAGGGGCCGTTCGGAGGACTTTTCCCCTAAGCCACTTTTGTCCCTACCCTACACTTGCGTCCCTCCGATCATTGAACGCCTTGTTTTTGTGGAGTGCTTTTTTCTTATCCGTCTCCATAGCGCTGCAGGCACTCCAAGCGGGCCCATGATGGCGCCGACAGATCCCCAGAAGGGCCGAAGACGGCCCCAGGAGAAGCCCAGTACGTGTCCCGAGACGACCTCGAGAAAGGACGCCCCCGACGGGCGCCTGTCATGAAGGGCCACGAGGCAACGAGAGCCGCCAAGATGGTCGCAAGAGGCCTCAAGAAGTCGTAAGGAGCTCCGAAGAAGAGCCCAATGACGCATGCAGCGGGGCCATGAGAGGCGAAACGTTGAGTTTGTTTTTGATACCCTTGGTCTTCCAATGGTTTCGTGGATGCTTCGGAGAGGCCCGCGAAGCTCCCAAGACGGCCCAAGGCGGCCCCAAGGTGGCCGCAATAGCTCCCAAGACATCCAGGCCCCGGGGACGGACCCGTGGCCTGCCGAGACGATCCCAAGAGGCTCCGGCAGAGCCCGCGGGCCCTGGCTGTTGCAATCTCGTTGCGGCCGCCCGCACGGACCTGGTTCCCGCTGGCCCTGGGTGCTGCGATTTTCTGGTGGCTGCCCACAAGGTCCCGGGTCCCGCTGGCCCTGTTGCGATTTGCCGGTGGCATCCCGCAGGGTCCCGCCCCGTTGTCGAGGGATTTGCCGTTCGGGGTTCACGCTGGCAATCGTGTGGCCATCCCTTCCCGACTTGGGAGCGGGGGGGGGGGCTGGCGACAGAGGTGGGGAGAATGGGATGGTGCACGAGAGCAAGCGGTGTCTTGCTTTGATTCAGCTTCTCCAGATCATCCGTCGAGGCCTTGATAATTCGCCGACTGCTAGTCGTCAGTCGGCACGGTTGGGAGTCTGGCAACGGGCCTGATCAAAGCTGTCCTTTCGGTCTGAGTGAAGATGTTATGTAGTGCGCGCAAGCCCGCCCAGGAGCTCATCGTAGTGGTGATTCTTGGCAAGGGGTTCAAGCTGAACTCTATCGACTCGCTCCTTTACATGGCCCCGTGACTTGATGATGAGGATTTGTTCGAGCAGGATGAGCATAGAGGAACAAAGGAGCATAAGCTGGGTTAGAGTGACGAGGAAGAGGGTGAGCACAAGAGTGTACCAGCCACCTTCCATGAGAGCTGTGGGTATACTCGAACGCGATCTACCAAAAACCGCACACGATGTGCAGAGCCAGCGGGGAGGGAGAGCAGCATCGCGAGTAGGAGCAGCTTCTCAGGCAGGAGCAGGAGGAGGCGGAGCATGCGACTGCCCTCCCAGGTGTCTGTGTGTGTGTGTGTGTGTGTGTGTGTGTGTGTGTGTGTGTGTGTGTGTGTGTGTGTGTGTGTGTGTGTGTGTGTGGGGGGGCGTGTGGCGACTGTCCTGCGTCTACTGAACAGAGTGAGCACGGCTGCGCAGCCCTCATCATACCATCCGCAAGTCGTTCCGCAGCAGCGTGCGCCACCGGAGGGGGGGGGAGTGAAGCCGAAGTGAAACGGCGGAGTCGCCCGGGTGCTCGTTTTCTTCCTCGCTGTTCTGCCGATGGGCGCGGGCCGTCGCACCCGCCCCCCTCCTCCTCCTCCTCCTCCTCCTCCTCCTTCCTCCTCCTCCTCCTCCTCCTCCTCCTCCTCCTCCTCCTCCTCCCCTCCCCCCTTCCCATGGAGCAGATCTTGGCTGTCTTGGGCGCCTGTGTCGAGCACGTGGAGTCTCCCCCATGGGGCGCACTGTTGCAGACAGACGCGTTCAAGTAGAGGTCCGGAGCCAGACCCCCCCCCCCCTCCTTCCGCCCGTTGTCGCAGCGCCGAACAGCAAAAACGCTCACAAGTGAGACGGAGTCGCCGGGCCGAGCAGCCGGCTCCCGTTTCGGCTCACACCGTGCGTGCGGGCGAGGCGGCGCGGCGCGAGTCTTCCTGCACCGGCTGGGCCCCCGGGCGCGCCGGAAGGAGTCGGGTCCCCGCCAGGGCGTGCTAGGGGCCGTCCCACGGTTGCCCCGCGGGCGTCCCGCGGTTGTTCCGATGGCTGTCCTGCTGGCTGTCCCGATGGCTGTCCTGCTGGTTGTCCCGATGGTTGTCCCCATGGTGGATCCGATGGTTGTCTTGACGGTTGATCTGATGGTTGTCCCGAGGGTTGTGTTGAGGTTTGTCCCGATGCTCGTGCCCATGGTTGTCCCGACGGTTGTCCTGTGGTTGTCCCGATATTTGTCTTGATGGCTGTCCTGATGGTTGTCCCAATGGTTGTCCCGATGGTTGTCCCCATGGTTGTCCCCATGGTTGTCCCCATGGTTGTCCTGTTGTCGTCCCGTGGTTGCCGTGTTGTTGTCTCGTGGTTTGTCTGTCGTTGTTCGGTGGTTGTCCCGTTGTTGTCCTGTTGCTTTTCCGTGGTTGACCCGTGGTTGACCCGTGGTTGTTCCGTGGTTGTCCGTGGCTATCCCGTGGCCATCCCGTGGTTGCTTCGCGGCTGATTCTCGGTGTTCTCGTGGTTGTTTTGTATTGGCCCGTGCTTATCCGGTGGTTGTCCCGCGTTTGTCCCGATGTTGTTCCGTGGTGGTCCTTTGATCGTCCCGTGTTTGTTTTGTGGGTGTTTGTTGTTTTTCCGTGGTTGTC